AAGTGCATGCTATAACTTCAAAACTACAAATCCGAATGCAAGTGGTCCATAGACAAGTCACGCCGTATTAAATAACTTGAATTTTCAGGTAGTTTAAATTAAAAGAAAATCTATAAATTAATGTTCATGAAATTCTATGGAATTATTTGACGATCATCACACTGTATTGAACGTAGAATAATCAATTCAATAAATATCTTAAGCTATTAATTCCATTGAATGTTGGCGTTAGGGTGTTGAGAAGTATTTTGGAATATGGGTTGAAACATTGTAGTGTGTGTGAAATGCCTGTGTTTGATGTTAACAAACGCTCGGTCTCAAGAACAATCGCGTCTCACACACATAAGTTACACCTTTTAAGCCCACATTCCGATAGCCGTCTCAACACACAATCTCCAACATTCAATAAAATTCATAATTTCATTTATCAATTAAATTGCTTAAATATACGTTCCATACATGCAAATAGTCGTATTTTGATATAAGATCATTAACAATTTTCGAGTTAGGGACTAAAATAAATTTTATGAACTAAAATATTTGTTGTCCAATAAGTTTTTTGTGTGTGAGTTCGCTAAGTTGTGTAATACATCAAGAATAAGCACAACACTCGGATTTTCTGTGTCATCTTGGTTTGCCACATGAATACCATATGGGCCCAACACCATTGATTTCTTTACTTGTTCTGCTCTATTTGTACTATGTTGTAGCTATGCAACAGTGTCATCCTGCCTCTGAGTAAGATAGCAGCAATGTGGACCCCATATGTTGAAACCATATTGCCACATCTTATCCACACTGTGGCATGGGCCCCATATGGGCCCATTGTAGAATTGTTACATGATGTGTGTTTAAGGTAATGGAATCAGTTGTGATGTCATGTGATATGATATGATATGATATGATATGATATGATATGATATGATATGATATGAATTCGACAAGTGGCCGTTCGACCGAGGGCTGGTTCGACCCACGGCCTAGATACGGACGGCTTGAAGTGTTGAAGGCTATGTTCCGGAAGGCAAGAATCATGATGGTCCATTACATCCAGGGCAGTGGTGGTCTTCGGCAGGCGACCCTCGATTATCTACCATGTGCACTGGAACCATCTACCATCTGGTGAAGTGCACTGGATCTGGATCAAACAGTGATTTGCCTTAAACAAGAAAATTGTTGATAACAAGGAAAGCTCATGCCAGCAAAGAAGAAAATGAAATTGAGAGAAACATGATGAAGACTTAAACTAAATAACAATTGCTGAGTCTAGGTGTTAAAATAAAATAGAATAGAAGTGTCGGTCAATAAGCGGACAACGTGCGACTTCTTCTTCACCTACAACCCGCAACCACCAAGTGCTTCATTATCCTTATTTCACTACTCTGCACTCTAAGGGTTGAAAATTTTCTGAAATATAAGCGTTGAAACCGCGGAACATAAAACGACCGTTTGTTTTCACTAGAAATGACAGGAGATAAGATCGCTGAACATGATTAACCACAAAACGGATAGATTTGTCTCAAAAGCTATGGTTTAAGTTTCTAGATTCAATATAATATGAAAGAATACGGTCATTTTATCACTAGAAGTATATAGTGATATTCTATTACAGCGTCAGATCCTAAAATAACGGAATCTCCTGATTCTCCGCCACATTCGATTGATCTATTGTTCGCCACGTGTTCTGCAGTTCAGCGTCTTCACTCATCGGTGCGGGGTGCCTCCAGCTTTCAAGTGTGACCCTGCCGACAGGCTTAATCAAGACCCAGTGCTCTCCAGTTTCCACCTTCCTACGGACCTACAGCCACTGGTCAGAAGACTTTTCTCACTGCCTGTAGTCACTGGCTGATTAGTCGTGAATCAGGTGCAGAGAAGCGTGGTTAGATTTCTGGTCGGACACGGAAGTGGTAGGACCGAGGACGTTTCTAGTATTTTGTTGTATTAGCTACTAGTAATATGTATTAGCCTAAGCCAGTCAAAGGGATTCCCGTCGCAGCTGTGGTTGTACTAGGTATGTAGGTGGGTGCACAAGCCACAAAAAATTTTTCATCTGATCCTAATCAATATTATACATCTGAAAAGAGTAAAAAATATAGAAAAACACCATGTAAATTTGAGTGGAGTACCTACTAGGCTACTACTACAAATGAAAGTGAAAAACTTAAAACTCAAAAAGCTACAAAATTTTTTCCTTCCTTTAGTCAATTATGTCTGAAAATGGTTCAATTTTTCTGCACTTTTTCTTAGGAAAAACCATTTCTAGGTTTCATATGAGCTAATTTCAAGGATTTTAGCACCCTCTAGCCTCTAGGCTCAAGAAACTAGCTAGAAAGCTCTTGTAGGCAATCTATTTAAACTAAAATAATATGTTTTGGTTGAGAATTTGAGGTACTGACTAAAACCCGGACCCAGACCGGTCCGCCGGACCCGGACCGAGTGACTAAAACCCGGACCCGGACCGGTTAGGCGGACCAGGTTCAAAAAAATAAAAGGCTGCAAATCATCTGAAACGTCGAGAAAACTTTTAATTTCACATATAAAATTTTTATATTTACTTAGAAAAATTTCGTCGCACCAACATATTCGGGTCACAGAAAAGTTCATTTCTCGATCGAACTAATCGATAGAGAATCTTCTGAAACGTCCAGAAAACATAAAAAGTTGGTATCGAATTTTCGAAAATTTACTTAGAAAAATTTCACTTCAGGTCCGGGGAGCCCCGGACCTGTCTCTTATACACATCTAGATGTGTATAAGAGACAGGAATCATGGAGATACAACTTCTATGATTAATTTGAATCATAAAAATTAACCTAATGCAAGAAATTAGCAATCAATAATTCAACGTTCTTTTGTAAGTTTTGTACCAACGGAACTATTGGTAACTACATTGAATACGTATTGGCAACTTAAGCTAAAAAATGCACTGCAACTGCAATCAGCTGTGAGAGAAGGTGCCAGAAAGCGCGATGGATTCAATTTAGTCATTTTTTATTTGAAATCGGTCTCAGTTCTTTGGACTAGGAGCGTAAATTACAGTGTAAAACCTATTAAAAGTTTACGTTTCTGCGTGAATTTTGATGCTGTTAGCATTGAAATACTTGAAAGTATCTCTGATGCAAGAAATACTGGCTAAATACATTTTAATTTAGAAATTAACATCAATCAAAATTATATTGTTCAGGCTTCAGGGCTATGTTGGTTCTTGCGAACCAATTGTTGCATCCAGTCGCTTATATTGAAAATAGAAATATTTAAGCCAGTATTTCTTGCATCAGAGATAATTCAAAGTTTGTTAATGTTAACAGCATTATAATCCATGCAGAAACGTACATTTTTTACATAGATATTAAAAATTTAGGCTCTATGACTTGTATACTATGCGTACCTAGGATTTCAAATCAATGCATGCATTCAAATTTAAATAAGGCCCACCCACGGCAAGTGTAGCTGTCAGCTGCTCAGCTCACCTCTCTTCAGAAGTGTGAAAGCTTTTGCCGGTGAAGGTGTGTTTTACGATCGGTCCGTAAAGAAGCGTTGATTGGTTCAAAATGACATAAGACCAGGTTCTTTTGAATAACCTATAGAATTGCACCATGTGAGACAGATAGAGTCTAGAGAATGGTACAAATTCATCAAAAGGCATAATTCACAGACATAGCAGAATTGAGCAGAATAAATTCCAGTTCAATAAATAAATGATCAAGAAATGGTAAATTGGTGACAGTTAAAAAAATTAATGACAATTTAAAAAATAAATGATAAATTAATGACAAATAAAAAAATAAATGATGAAGGAATGATAACTGATTAAACTGAATGATGATAATTGATATAGGTGCATGGGTGCAAAACCATTCATCAAAGCATTCATTATAAGATAGATAAATGATAGGTAAATAATAGCCAAATGAAAAATGCATAGCCTAATAGGTACCAGTAAATGATGAGTAAATGATGAGTAAATTGTTAGTAGGTTATAATAATAAATGTTAAGTTAATGATAATAATAAATGCTAAATAATGATAATGATCAATGAAAATGATAATAAATCAATACCTCCACCTCATATTTCTTATAGACTTGTTTAGTTGTCTCTTGTTTGATTGATATTCTTTCTTTTTCTTTTATATAATGAATTTTTTGCAAATTTTCCAGTCCCTTCTCTTGTAATGATTAGGTTTAAGATAAGCAGGATGAATTTCTAAAAATTAAGGTTCATATATTATTTTTGATCCACCTCCACCACTTTTTTGATCCAAATATTTTAGTTGAGATAGAAAGGATAAAAATAGGAGGGATTAAAGTTACACTTGAAAGAATCAAGAATTAAGGTTGCAACACTTCAAGATTTCAATTAGACTAAATAATAATTCATTAGCAATTTGTTGGTCAACTATTACTTATTGAAACATGTGCTCACTTTTGCATCTATTCTTCTGACTCTGACCTGAACGGCTTCTTTTCCCTTGAGTTTCTGAGGCATGTGCTTCCAAAAACAGCCAATTGTTAAAGGATTGCAAAGGCTTTGAGATTTAGGCTGAGGTGATATGTTTTTTGTGTTCCAGAAATATTGATGATTTAGGTTCTTAACAAAAATTTCCATTGTTATAACTTGTGTCTGGTTTTGTGTTAGAACTCCATCACCAACCAGTCCACTTACAATGGCTTCCATCAGTCAAGCATATTCTTTTTTTGGACAATTTCCATCTAATCATCTGCAGAGGATCAGTATTTTGGCCATTTATAATACCACAAATGTGAGAAAAGTCTATGTTGGTGCAATTACTTGCACCTCCTCCAAAACCATTATGTATAACCCCATGCTGTTTATGTTTAATCCCATTAAACATAAACGTTGCATTAATTAAAGTTGTTATCGGAGGTTGAATTAGGCTACTGTGTAGCCCAACCTTCATGTCTTTCTTGTTAATCATCATATTTATTCAGTGCTCAATCCAACTCAATTTAAATTAAATTCAATATTTTTATCTTTTTCAGTGTAGATGACTAAAGTATAATTTGCAGACTTGAAGTAAAGTATCTCTCTTGAAGTATCTCAATTCAGTATCTCAGCCTGGGCACTCAGTTGCACTGGTGAGTGGCATAGAAATTTATTCCATTTATTCATTGATAATTTAGTTTACGTTACAAAGCAGAATGTATAAGCCCATGCTACGACTGACTGCTATGGCTGCCAATTCTACAAGATATAACTGCCACTCCCTGGGGACAAGCTCAGAAGCTGCTGCAGGAGCTGTCACTGCCAAGGCTTCACCTGTGAAGAAAGAAAGCCTGAAAGAATATTCTGAAATTCCTGGCCCTTCCCCACTTCCCCTCATAGGGAACACTCTCTTCTTTCTCTCTCATAAGGGTATGTTTTCTTGAAGTAATTTCATTGTACTGTGCTAATGTAAACATCATTAATGTCCCAACATTCCCATAAATGGCTAGAACTCACATTATTGTATTGCCAGCCTCCTTTCACTACGTTTTTCATAGTACTTGATTTCATATTGATCATGCTATTTTTTTGTCATTTTAAACTAATTGTTGGTTAAAGACCTTCATTTGCGTTATATTAATATATATTTAGAGATTTCAACTTCATTCATTTTAGGCCTGAGATTCTGAAGCCCTGCATAGCCCATTATTGTTGGTAATTTTTGCCAAGAGTCATGTTGGGAAACTTTTTCCTTTTCAGATGCAAGGCTGCAGGCCTCTCTAAATAGGTAATTTGTTAACTACAAGCTCCTATGCTGAACTTGGTTTAGCTTTAGGCATCAGAGTTAATATTACCTGGGAGAATTACTAGGAGCTAATTTTCAGATCACATTAGTTTGATAGTCTGAGCAAAATGATGACATGACCATTGCTCGTATCTTATTCTGTATCAGCTGATACCTAAAGATGCATCCAGTTCCCCATAAGCTGGCATGAGCTACTTATAAAAGATGATTTAGTCTTATTAGTTTAAACTGAAATCTGTTATCAGACTGGCTACCTTGCCTTTATCACTATGCCGCCTGTAGACTTTTTTAGCGCATTTTTTCATTTATGGAAAAATGCACTATTGTGCACGCCATGTCTGTTCGTCTGTCTGCCTTTCTGTTTGTCTGTCTGTCCGTCCGTGACTTCATGTTTTTGTTGACAAGAAAATGAGCTCGCTGTCATTCTCTGCAGTGAGTAGGTACCGAGTTATATTTTTTATACTCATGTTGGCTACATGGCATGTTGTACCTAATGTGTCATGCTTGTGACTTGGCTGCAGTTATGCAGATTAATGACTATCTCCTGAATGATTAGATCTACATTAGTGACTATGATGCATGACACAGAACTTCATAGGTTTGCTCATTAATTTCCTCTTATTATAGTACGGTACCTACATACTCTAGTGAAATTTAGCAAGGGCTATAATGAAGTACTACACTAATAATTGTGCAAGAATGTACAAATGGCAATCATTCTATTTTATTGCCAATTATAACTGACACCTATATATCTTGCCCATAATAATGATTACCATATAAGATATTGGAATCATCTAAAACAATGTTATAATAGGCCTTTAACATCACTACTGGTATGACTTGATTATAACAAGCAGGCATCACTTTAAACTTATAGGTATATCTTTCTGCCACAGTAACACCACTGTTCACAACTTGAAATATAAATAATGTCAACTGAACAGCCAAGAACTCAACTGAATGCTTTGACTTGTTAGATCTCCAGCACCTTCTTGTTTCGTCACCCATGCACTCAATGTTATTCATCACATTCATTATATTGAAAAACTATTCCTTCATGTGGCATGTGCTCAGGCCACAGGGCTTAGGATGGCTCTCCTACAAGAATATGGCATTGTGAAGCTCCAGTTCATTCATTTTATTGAATTGAAATTGAAATTCATTATATTGAATTGAACATTCATTATATTGAAAAACTTTTCCTTAACATGGCATGTGCTCTGGCCACAGGGCTTAGGACGGCTCTCCTACAAGAATATGGCATTGTGAAGCTCCAGTTCATTGGCGTGCCCCCCATGGTGTGCACTACCAACCCTGACGACATTGAAGTCTTCCTTAAGAGTACTTTGGAGAACCCGATCCGCATAGGCTTTGCCAGCCTCAAGAGCGTCCGCCTGCGTGCCAAAGACAACTACTTCAACAAAAAGACCGGCCTGCTATCTGAGTGAGGATGCCTTACTAATGTGAGATTTATTAAAAGATATGTTAAATTGTTTTTACTTAGTTGATTTGAATTATTCATGGTTTTTATAGTTAGTACAACTTGTGCTTATTTGCACTGGGTGGCCGTGATAAGGTCTTAAGATTTGAGTCCTGCAGGACTAGGAGTGATCAGATGAGGATGGGATCATGACTGATATCCTCTGAATCAAAAAGAATAACAAATATTCAATAAATGATGAAATGAATATATGTTATACCTATGGTATATAGGGATATCTACATATCTTATATGTAGTAATTAAGCTGTCATGTATAATCCAAACATTATTTTATGTTAAGATAGCTTTAATTTCCTGCCAACAATCCATCAGGAACGGCGACGATTGGTGGCAACTCCGTAGCCGCGTGCAGGCGCCGCTGCTGCGCCCCAAAAACATCGCCATGTACCTGCCTGCTGTGGATGGCGCCACCAACAAGTTCTTGGACAGGTGGGGGACAGGTGCTGGTGGGGCGCTGGTGTTGGTTGGAGAGAGCAGGTGCTGAGGGGGGGACAGGTGCTAGTGAGGCGCTGGTGTTGGTTGGAGAGAGCAGGTGCTGAGGGGGGGACAGGTGCTGGTGGGGCGCTGGTGTTGGTTGGAGAGAGCAGGTGCTGAGGGGGGGACAGGTGCTGGTGGGGCGCTGGTGTTGGTTGGAGAGAGCAGGTGCTGAGGGGGGGACAGGTGCTAGTGAGGCGCTGGTGTTGGTTGGAGAGAGCAGGTGCTGAGGGGGGGACAGGTGCTGGTGGGGCGCTGGTGTTGGTTGGAGAGAGCAGGTGCTGATGGGGGGACAGGTGATGTGTGGCAATTGTCAGTTTACCACACAGGAGGTTGCCAGCTAGGCTTGTATTATATGTCTACAGCTAATGCTTGTCATTGACAATGTTCATTAGCACTGATGCTACATTATCCTTACAGGATTGACCTGCTGCAGGCCGAGACCGGCCAAGTTCCTTCAGATTTCCTGCAGGAGCTCTACAAGTGGGCCCTGGAATGTGAGTACCCGGTATGGCTAGTTTAAAAGACGTGTGGTCAAGGTGCCGTTGCCCGTGCATTGTTTTCTCAGTCTCCTGGGAACGTTGTGATTCCATGAGCCCTAACCAAGCACAAGCTCTGCTTATTTGACATTTGTCTCGTTCATCTCCTAAACTTTGACTCCACTGCATCAAGAGTAGAGGTGCAATAATGAAGATTTACTCCTCTTCTCCTTATATATAACATAGGAATTTTATTTGTCGTGAATGATGTTTCTTTCGTTGCTGTGTTGCGACATAAGGCCATCTGGTGTTGTGCCACATGAGGCACCGCTGTGCTCTCCAATGTTGCGTTAGGCCAAATATTGACTGTAGGGTGGCTGTTGTCCAAGTTTTTCAGCTGATAAGTTATTCATGTAGGTACTTATATATTATTTAATAATTATTGATGTTTGTACAGGCATTGGGCTGGTGGCGCTGAACCGCGAGCTGGGCTGCCTGGAGCCCAACATCAGCCCAGACGCTCTGCCCGTGCAGCTCATCCGCCACGTCAACGACATCTTCTCCGCTTTCCATGAAACTGAAATGAACTTCCCGTTCTGGAAGTATTTCCGCACGCCATCGTACACGAAACTCGAGACTTCGCATGCTGCCTTCCTCGAGTGAGTGCATCTGGAGTGTACAGCTGGTATGTGCATCTTTTGTGTACAGCTGGTATGTGCATCTTTTGTGTACAGCTGGTATGTGCGTCTGTTGTGTACANGAGTGTCGGGCTACAAGGTCCCCGCCGGGGTGAGTGTCGGGCTACAAGGTCCCCGCCGGGGTGAGTGTCGGGCTACAAGGTTCCCGTGACATTAAGCGTTCTACTCTACACAAATCAAATGCTGAGCGAGCTTCCCTCGTGTCGTGTCTAGAATTATTCTGCATAAACTGGCACATTAATCGCGTGCGTCAGGAAGTTTCAAAAGACAACTTCTTGCCTATAATAAAATATTTTCCATTTTTAAATCAAATATTCTCCATTTAAATATTTTCCATCCTTTAAACTTGTATAAAGCGCTTTTTGTATGTATGTTGTAAATAGTTTGTATGTTGTAGTCATTGTCATTCATATCTTTAATTATTTTTACCCTAGTGGATTTCATTGAGTTTTTGTTGTCTCCTCTTCAGTTATCCTTTAACCGCAATAAATCAGCATTCGCTGCTCCTACCCCTGCCTAGTGGCTGGTCCATTTCCAGGCGCGTGTTTCATCCTTCTTCGATCTTGCTTGACGGAATCTTAATTCAAACTTATTCAGCGTTTTATATACGTACTGAATGTTATTTGAGCGCAATTGTGCATCACTGTCACCGTAAAAAGTTCATCCACTAACAACCTTAATGTTCATGTTCTAGATGACAATCTTCCTAATATTTTTAGCGCATTTTCTCATTTATGGAAGAAAATGCACTATTGTGCTCGCCATGTCCGTCCGTCTGTCCATCCGTAACTTCACGTTTTCGTCGACGACAAAATGCGGTCTCTGTCACTCACTGCAGTGAGTACTGAGTTACATTTTTGTGTATTTATAACATCAGTCGTAAGCGCCATTAGTGTTGCAGTACAAACTGTGCTTGTATTGCAGACGCTGGCCATGGGCTTCAATGCCCTCATATCCCGCATGGAGGAATACTTCCCGCGGGCCTTGGAGTTCCTGCCGGAGCGGTGGCAGCGCGACCGCCCCTACGGCGCCATCCATCCCTTTGCGTCGCTGCCCTTCTCCCACGGCACCAGGATATGCATCGGCAAGCGTCTGGCCGAGCAGGAGATGTACGTCTTCCTCATCAGGGTACGTCTTCCTCATCAGGGTGAGAACTGCGATCCACTGTTGTGCTGAAGCTGTTGTTGTCAGGAGCACTCAAAGATCTATAGCTTACTTGTTTGAATTAAATAAGTCTACGTACTTTTATACTAGTAAGGAATAGCAGGAAGAGACCACGAGAGTTTTCCATTTTTTGTAAGTAACTTCATGGCGCTAGTTTATGTCGTGTAAATTATTCCTGTTTAATCAAGCAGCACCGACGCGCCTGTTGCTCGCTACCCTCGCTGAGCCCTGAGGGCATACTTTCCAAACTCGCTAAGTGAACGTAAGTACTTCCGCTCTATTTTCTTGTCTATGATTGGTGGATTTTGCTTGAAAAGCCGTCAATGATTGGCAGATGAACTTACGATCTCTTAACTTTTTTTGAAACTATGGGCCCTCGTGACCAGCGACCTGCGCGCATCCTTGCCATCTCAGGAGTCGTTCTATTTGTTTGTCTCGTTCTTGGGAGTCGTTCTATTTGTTTGTCTCGTTCTTGGGAGTCGTTCTATTTGTTTGTCTCGTTCTTGGGTTAAATTTAAATACTGCAAAAAGAAAATAAATGGAATTTTTATAGCGGAACCTACAAATAAACTAGCATACATTGAATTATCGGCCTTTTTTGGCCTTTTTTGTTCTCGGATTTGGCCGATTTTAGGTAACCTGAATTATGTACCACTACCTCATGGAGAAATAAATTTCGTGGTACACATATGTACCAATACGTAGTCAACGTGTTAAGGACGCCTCTGCAAGTTGATATCTTGGCACTGCCTTTCTTGCCAGTATTTTCGACACACTTTTACTGGGCAACCTAACGCCTGATGCCCCCGTGTCCTCTTAAGGGTATCGTACCCCGTTGTATTTATTTTATCCCTAATATTTTACCCTGCTAAATTCTCATTAAGTTCTCCCCCCCCCCAAAAATAAACTTTTTAACTTACGGACGAATCACTATGAAACTTTGTTCATATATGTAAAACAAAAATTGAGAATTTTTTTGTTCGTGTAAATTTTCCGAAAAAATGAAAGAAAACGTGAAATTCTTGGAAAACGGCCGAATAGGGGGTACTGCAAAAATCGATCTCCCCCTAGGATTTTCAAGCTAAAACATCGAGACACATATCATTCAATTTGTAGCAACATTATCTAGCGGTTCTAGAGCCCCGATTTTCGATTTTCCTTATTGATTTTCTTCAATTGGCGTTTTTCTGTTTTTCACATTTTTACCCCCACGTAATATCCAAAATTTTTTATTTTTGAGTGAAACGATCCCCTTAAAATAGTCCCTAATCTCTTCATTCAAAATAATCTTGCTTCGGTTCTCCTCTAGAAGTTCTTTGGTGTCCTCGCATGTTTTGCTTACAGCTTCTTACTTCTACAAGCTGCACCACTTGTAGCTGCCGATCTAATGCCTTCGTATGTATTATTTGTCCTGGCAAAGATCAAAATCTTACATTTACTTCAAAAATTTATGACGTTACTCAACAAACCTGGATAATTAACCTTTATTTGTGACTAAAATCAATGTTTAGATGTATCCAAAATCCAAAGACACACCAATTAGATTTACGAAGGATTACGAAAATTTATGAGATATTTTGCTTCAATATTTATGTTCTACCAAACCCTGCGTTTCAGATGGTATTTTGCTTCAATATTTATGTTCTACCAAACCCTGCGTTTCAGATGCTGCAGAAGTACACGGTGACGTTCGAGTCCGACGAGGAGATGAAGGTGAAGACGCAGCTTGTCCTCAAGCCCGCCACGCAGCTCGCCTTCAAGTTCCACGCAAGGACCTGATCATTGGATTTGGCAAAGGACCTGAGGCACGCAAGGACCTGATCCTTGGATTTGGCAAAGCACCTGAGGCACGCAAGGACCCGATCCTTGGATTTGGCAGAGGAGTGAGAGGACCTGAGGCACGCAAGGACCTGATCCTTGGATTCGGCAAAGGACCTGAGGCACGCAAGGACCTGAGGCACGCAAGGACCTGATCCTTGGATTTGGCAAAGGACATGAGGCACGCAAGGACCTGATCCTTGGATTTGGAAGAGGACCTGAGGCACGCAAGGACCTGATCCTTGGACTTGGCAAAGCACCTGAGGCACGCAAGGACCTGATCCTTGGATTTGGCAAAGGACCTGAGGCACGCAAGGACCTGATCCTTGGATTTGGCAAAGGACCTGAGGCACGCAAGGACCTGATCCTTGGACTTGGCAAAGGACCTGAGGCACGCAAGGACCTGATCCTTGGATTTGGCAAAGGACCTGAGGCACGCAAGGACCTGATCCTTGGATTTGGCAAAGGACCTGAGGCAC